ATTTTGAAGTCAATGTTCCTGTATCACATGGAGTCAGCCACCCTGAATAAATATTGTATTGCAATAATGAACACTAACACTGTTTGATTAAAGGTAACAAACTTTACTTTCAAATATTCTGTACTTTTAATCTTCTTTTGTGTGTCACATTTCAGCTCTGATCTTATACATTTAAACTTAACTATCATTACGTAAATATAGAATTAGAAAGTAGGAAATAATTAGTTTTGTTCAACATTTTGTGTGTATTTTGATCCAGATTATTTATTTTTTCGTGTTATATTTTTTATTTTATTGCTTTTAGTTACAAGTTTGGAAATTAAAACTTTTTATACATGTTAACATATGCATATTTGGAGTTATTATAAAATGTCTTGTGAAATTATCAGTGAGTTTTGTAAACAGGAAAGTGTCTGGTATTAGTGGATGTGTAAAGGATTTCTAAATTTACAGATACTTATAACTTTTTTTTTATTACAAATGTCAAAAATTTTTTAAACATTTTCACAATATTTGGATCATCAGATATTATAGTCAAACATTTGGGTTAAGATCCAGTTTAAAATTAATGTTCATGTGATCTTATGTTTCTCTAAAATAATGTTTTCAAGATGTTTTTTTCTAAGTGTTGAGTTCATATATATATATATATATATATGCTTAATAATAATAATAATCTTTATGCCCATTTTCAAGTAACATTGTTGCTTAGATTTTATTTTCAGAAGATAATGATGTGAAAATACTGCTTTATGTGACTTTATCCACTGTATTGATAACAATTAGTAATGTTCTTATAATTGAGTTTCAAAAGAGATTTTTTTGTCAAGAAGCTTGTACTGTATGACTTTTTACTTTACCATAATAGCCAATGTTACATTGGATATCTTTGTATGATTTTGTTCACCCCATGACTAAAATAACATGTTAACATTGTGAAAATCCACTTCATTGTTTAATGTGAAGTTTTAATTATGTATTACTTCTTCCCATCATTGGTATGACAACTTAAGCCATAATACAATTTCTCTGAAATATAGTGATTTTATTTAGTTACCATTCATGTCATAATGCATCCTTTGTTGTTTGAATATCAATCTGTGAATGGAAGTATCAAAACTTGTTCAGTATTCCTCTATATGCTAACATCAAACTTCTTAAATGAAAAAATTATCCTTTTTTTTTAACTGAAATTGAAGATGAAAAATTTTTTTTTTTGAAATTCTTAACTCTTTAAACATGTACTTTTTTCAATCTTCTGCTGTTGATTGGAAATTTGTTTCAAAACAAATGATAATGCTTCACAGAATTTCCTGTCAATTTATAAAAGGTTTGGATTAGTTTTAAGCCAAAGAAACATAAATGTTATTGGATGCTGTCACCAACCAATTGGTAAATCAGAATTTTCAGCTGGATGCTGGCAGTGTCCAATCACATTTAAGGGGTTAATTGTACTGTTAATTTTTTCCTTTACCCTGACAAATCCTCAGTAAATGCACACTCAGGCACATTTTGAACTTCAGCCAGTGAATTGAAGTTTTCAATATCATTTGCAACACAACATTTAGTAATAGTTTTTTTATTATTAAGTTCAAAAGTCTGGTGTACTTTTTCTTTATCTGATACTACTAGTTTCAAGTGATTGGTTCACTGATAATAAACAAAATTATTAATTTCTTTTTTCATAATAATAGGTAATTATATCTATATTATTTGGACATTCTTAGACATTTTTCTTTTATTTCTCTAGTTATGCCTAATATATTTACTTAATAACAACATTGCCGTGAATACAGGCGTGTATACAAATCAGTATTTGCAAGCATGGGAACAGAAGAAAATTCTCAATCCTGAAATTAGCTGAGGGAGAAGTCATAAGTGTTCATCATGCAGAACATAGATCACTGGTTCCTTGACCTGAAACAGAACAGCATATACCTTAAGGTTTTGTAGCAATGCATTGTACACACTTAACAACAATTTTGTTTTTGTTATCCATAGAAAGAGCTTGTGAACAATTCATTCTTTGCTGTTTTTTGGGAAGCTCCTGTTTCAGGGTTTACAGCTTTTCCTGGCCTTTCATTGATACCTATTTATGATTTCTAGGTATACGTGTCTATATCTATATGCTTCATTTTTTACCATGGTGCAGGCTAAGTAGTACAATGTATGTAAAAAACATCCATAAACATAGTGGTGTTAACAGCCAGGTTGTACACTGAAAGGAACCTATGTGGGGTGAACTGTTTAGGCATAGTGTACTTTATATTTAGTATTTCACAGATTAGTTCAAGTGTTTCCCTCAAATTCAGTGACCACTTAAAATCAGTGTGCATATCATTAAAAACAGTCCTTCCAGGAAATGGTTGAATAATAATGTAAAAGCCTTTTTTGCATTATGTGCATTGTACACCAAGTCTTCATTTATGTCCACCAGATGAACTGTCCTTTCATCCAGTCTGGTCTCTAGTTCAGATTTCTTTCATGATATTACAAGAATTGAGTAAGACTGACATTAGCTTCAATGATCTTTAAAGACTCCAGGTGCTGAACAATAATATTCTACTTTTTAAATGAAGAATGACAACTACGTTTTCTAGGCTACTCACACTCTCATCATTGTTTAAACTAAAATGACTCTGTCTGAAGTGATCATTCAATTTCTTATCAGTTTCTTTGGGTCCTTTATTCCAGACAACTTGTACACTAGTGTTTTGTTGCATGGGATACAAAAAGCCTGGTCAGCTACATTTAATTTCCAAAGGTATTTCTTCTTTTATCACAAACTCCATCTGTAATTAACATAAATGTTACTGTAATTATCCTTCTAGAATTTCATTTGTCTATGTTCATATCCGTTCTCCCAGTACAAACTTGGGCAAAGGTTCCTCCTAGCCTAGGCCGTTTTATCAATTTTGTATAATTAAAAAGGCCTAACAAAATAAAATTTGATATTAGATGTAAATATATAAATTATAAAACAACTCACCTTTAAATTCATACAATATTGTAGTTTCAAATATAGATGATATCTCCAACTTTCAGATATGTTTTGAAATTCGTGCCAGCCGTCAGGTAGTATAATATGGAAATTTCCAAGTATACTGATTATATTGAAATAGTTAGTCACAGTTTATACAATTGGATAATGAATATAAAACAACCAATCATTAATTCTTCTGAAAGTAGAAGTGCTTGCCAAAATGGCTGCTCTGATAAACTACACTTTCTACAAGACAATTCTACATCAATATGTAGGCTATACTTTCCCCACCACTTTCTCTTCAAATGTATGCAACTTTCAAAAATCGCCCTTGGGACTTCAAATCTGGATTTTTGCACCAATCCAGAAAATTCCTATGTCTGATGTTCGATTTTAAAAATAAATAAAATTATTGTGAGTTTATTATAATTGTAGTTCAACAATGTGTAATTCAGGTGAATTTTTAAAAATGTAGTTTATTGTTCCAGAAAAGTTATTACTTTTAAAACACTAAGAAATATTTCATTGAAAATTTCATGAAAATGATTTTGAGAAGATTTTTTGTCATTCACACAACAAGCATTAAAAAATTTTAAATTTGGGACTATCTCATAAATTCTAGATGTAAAAAGAAATTAAATATCTAAAAGTGGATTAACAGGAAAATAAGCAGTAGAGTGTGGTTAACTTCAGTGAAATACAGATCTTTTTATATTTCTGTTATCCCATTTTTAACTTGTTCTTTTGATTTAGTAGTTTCAGGATACTTACATATTATTCAAAAATCTTTGAGTGAATTAAATGTTTGAACCACAACTGTCAACCTCTATATTCAAAATAACAAAAGTTATATCAAAGTTAAGAATAGTGTGATGTACAGATCACTGATTGCAATGAAAGCTTACCAACTGACTCCCAAGATGACACTTATTATTGCACAAATAATGTACCATAATTTTAATTTCAGTAGCCTGATAAATGCCAAACTTGTATGATGCATTTCTTAACACTTGGAACATTCTCTTTTTAATCACAATCTTACTTTTGTTTTTAATGCAAAAAAAAAAGTTTTATTTAGTAGTAGTAGTTTCAAAAATTTATCTGTAAATATTGTTGGTGTTTTTTATGCTGAAGGTGTTACGCAGTATTTTGGAATATTTTCATCACGGAATATTGAAATATGAATTTCATAAAGTGAAATATTTTTGTGTTATTGGTATGTTAATGTTTTATTAACAAGCTGGCTTACAGCAAATACTGTACGTAGAACTTACAATTCAGTAGCTTCCTTTTTAATCCATAACACTAGTCTTATATCTGTAATCAAGAGCATTTGAAAATATTAAATAAGGTTCAAAGTCAATTTGAGCTCTTCTTTAAGATTTTTTTATGTTCTTTCAAATGGGTATAGCTGTAATAAAAGATTTTTTATCATTTTTATTAATATGTTGTGATAAATACAAATATTTGCATAATTTTCTAACACCTCAAACTCGACATTTACACACTTGAAGCCAAATATACACATGGTTATATAAGTAGCCATTCTCCATGAAAAAAGAACAGTTGCATTTTGGTTTATTTGTATTAGGGATGATGGTGTAAAAATTCATGTGTGTGTGCTTGTGTTCAAATGTGTATGGTATAACAATATTAACTAGCCTCGTATCGTGTCGTAACAAAGTTACAGTTATACATATGTACTTCCAGTTACTTTATTAAGTGTAACCCCATGGTTGCTGTCAAATTATAGAATAAGAAGTCTTTTCCTAAACACACTGACACTTCTTGTCAAGATTCCAATTCTATTTTGTGCATTAACTTCATGTACAGGTAAAATATGCCACTGAACTATAAGGTTGCTCCCTTTTAAGTGAATTTTTAAGATGATTCCCTTGTTTTTGTTTCTATTTACAAACTATATTACAGTTTTGTGTGTGTGTGTTATTTTAAGCTTCCATTTCACTATGACAGTGGAAATGAGCATGTTCTGTAACCTTCATGTAAAACTCAATAAACCAGTGTTGTCATTACCAGATATCTGTCATGTTTTTTAATGTATTCTTAGTTTAAATTATTCATAGTCTCATAAAATTTGATCAGAAAATAATTATGTTAACATTCAACTAGTTCAAAAACTAAATTATGAATATTTTGAAATAGTTCACAACTATGATTTTTTTTTCTACTTTCAAGTTTGGAAATGTGTTTATGATTACACACCAAAAAGTAATAGTTAATATATGTTCTAATTTTGTCTTTACTCACCAAAGATTTTATCTTCTGTAAACTAATTCAATAAAGAAAAATGTAAATATTTACAGAACTTCCAGGCAATCTCTGTTTATTGTTTACTATTTATTTTAAATACTGTTGTTCAAAAGCATTTTAATACTTTATTTCACTAAAGTAACATTAAAAACCAAAATAAACTCTCTTCCTGTAGTTAGAAACTTTTTTTTATTGGAATGGAAAAAAAATAATTTCTTTTAGTGGGTTAATAATTGAAAATTCCAATTAATTTGTATTATATAAAATCATACCTAAAATGTCACGTTTATAATTCCTTCAATTACATGCCTGGTGATTAAGGTGCTCAACTCACAATCTGCAGATCAGGCTTTTCACTTCAGCAATTGGTGTATTATAATGTAACAGTCAATCCCACTAGTTGTTGGTGAACGAGATGCCAAAAGGTTGGGTGTGGATGCTGCAGACCAATTGCCTTCCCTGTGGTCAGCAGTTCATAATTAGGGATGGTGGCAGATAGCTTTAGTAGTTTCACCATAAACAAAAAACAAATTTTCACTAACAGAACAAATCAATAAAAAACTATACTGAGATTATTTTGGAAAGAATTTTATTACCGCTTAACAACAAATTTACACATGGAATTTTTCAGTAATGTGTTCATATTTTAAAAAAAATAGTATCTGCTTTAAACAAATTTAAGAACAATAATGTTCATCTGTTGACACTTATGATTTTTTTTTACTTAGTCAAATAATTTTAGTTTTTATCAGAACATGGTAAAAAGCCCCCAAACTCAAGCTTATTTACCAACCCCAAAAAGAATAAAAAATATTGAAGCAAATATATTCTGTTTCTTCTCATCAGATGCCATGAGCCAAACTCATCTCTTCCAAGATTCAAGTTTTTCACATTCGTTTTAATGACTGCCCAGTTTTTTGGGTGTAGTCTTCCCATCCTCCCCTATACATGCGGGATCTGAAATATGTATACTCACAATGAATCTTGAAAATTTTGTCCTGATAGTGAAAAACATTTTCTTGTTTTTTCTGATTTTTCTACAAATCACTTAAAACTGAAAGGTAACCTATATTACAACTAATTAGTTTGTGCCACTTACAGTACACAAGACAACTTTTAGATTGTTATATAGAATGTTTACATATAGTTGTTTTGAATAATCATTTCTGGTTTTGGGATAGTGCTTCTGAGATGCATTTATAAATGTTTTTCTCCGAGTTAAAAAATTAACTTTAAACATTTTTTATGCATCCATAAAAACAGGTGAGAGAGTGAATCAGGTAAAAAATTAATAAGTTCAAATCTGTGGATAAAGCCTGCCACAAGGTCAAAGCATATACACAAGTGAAACCTAAGGAAAGGCAGTGTCAAATAAAATAATTAGTAAGAGAACAATAAGTGTAAAAAAAACATAAAATGGTGATACTCTTTCTGATTAATTACAAAGCTCTCTTAAACCAAGTTACTCTGGTGTTCTTCATGAACACTACTGAATAGCATTTAGGAAAACAATTAACAAGATATTTGTCATTAATATCAAATCTTTAAGAATTACTTAAGGCTTTGATACCAAATTGCTTTAAAAAAATCTGAAAGTGATATATGAATTTCTGTAATATACAGTATTTGAAGCCTGAAACCTTTGTCAGTGATAATTTGTTTAATAGAAAGAACATTAGCATTTTTTTAAAATTTATTAATATATTTTAACACATTGAAAATTGTAATTTCTAGCTGCTAATAGGTAATGTTTGACCATTAAGAAAAAGCTGAAACAACTGAAGCTTAACAACTCTGGCTTAAGCTTATGGACATAAATTAATGATATATGGACTTTTATACAAAAAATTGCTAGTTTTCAATTCCACACTAAAAATTAATTGCACGAAGGACTACAGAAAAACTAGATGACCAAATTGTAATAAAAATACCATCAAAAACTTAACATGGTAATGTTTTAGTAAAACATCATATAATTTCTAGAAAATTGTTTATTTTCTAATACTTCTAAAACTTCAAAGTTATGAGCAGTCACATGTTCATCAAAGATGACACCTAGTATAAAAAATATATATACTTCCTTCAGTAACATATGATCAATTATAAATTTTTAATAATGCTGTCTAGTGATTCTAGCCTTCATATTATTAAAAAGACAGAAGATAATAGTATAGAAATTTTTTTTGGTCACATTTTCATATATGTGCATGTATACTTTGCTTTGTTTGATATATTATTTATCCAAAACGTATGCTCAAATTTAAGTGTGCAGCTTTTCTGTTTACTTTTTCATGAAATTATTTATCCAAAACATAAACTATGAAACATTATTTAGTTTTTACTTACTAAACCCTGTTAACATTCATTTAAATAACTACCTGAAGTACTGAGACTTAATTCAGTTCATTAGAAATAAATACTCAGTAAACTATGAAAACGTTTGAAATAAAAACTCACTAAATAGCTAAAATATTTGAAATTAAAACTTCGTAAATTGCTGGAACATTTTAAACCAAAACTTAAATAAGCTAAAGAAATATGAACAGGCTACAAATATGTAGTAAAACATATCAAAATGAGTAGAAACTTGTGTTAATATTCTTCCTTACTTGGGAAGATAAACTGTGATAATTATACTGTATGTTTCTATAGATATAAGTAGATTTTATATACTGTTCAATTATGATAATTATTTCAGTTCCTAGTTTTGATCAGTCTGTGTTGCTTTAAATATTAAACACCTTAACAAGATTGAAATCAAAGTCATTAGTATATGAAGATGACTAATTATAATTATTTATATCTTTTAACTTCAAAAGCATATTTTGTGCTCATATAAAGGTAAAGCTTATATCCAGTGTAATAAGTAAATCTATGCTTTTGTATGTTTAGTAATAAATCTTTGATATCTATTTTTTGTTTTTTCTTTATCTCAAAGCTAATACAGATGTAAATACCAGATATTAAAAAAAAGATTCAGATGAAACTTCTTAATAACATATTTCATTATTTTTAAGAAATCATTTATTGTGAATGACAAGTATACACAATGTACTGAAGACCGTAACCATGTTTGTGCACCTACTTCTATGAGTAGTAAAAATGTACCCACTTTTATTTAACACTTACCTAGTGTAGCCAAATTTGTGAGCAAGTTCAACAGCAGCCCTTGCTTTGATAGGTCCAAGACCAAAAAAGACAATATTTGCATCAAACTGTTGAGGCTTAGAAACTTTGTACTTGTTTTGAAAAGCATCTTCTGTCAATAACAAAGCATCTTTTACCTGACCCACTAAATAAAATAAAATATTATGTCAGGTCTTTTTAACTTCCACTTTTTTTCTTTTTCAACTGATATTGATTATTTTTAGTTGAAAGTATATTCAGACATGAAAAAAACTTACCAGATTAATGGTCTGAAGTCTCCTCAAACATATTTTAATAATCATATAGTAAAGACTATCACAAGTATCCATGTAAAAAAAATGATTTACTAAAACCTAAAACTTTTCACTGATTTTAAAGCTTGATTAGGTAAAACATTTGTAATAAAAAGAATTTTGATTTTTTAAATTGATTTAAAATTTAAAAAAAAATTATTCAGTTTTTAGTAATATTGTTATGATATGAAATTTTGCCCTGCCTACTTAATAGCACTTATTCACATTTCTTTAATTTGAGTTGAAGTTTTGCTTATTATTAAAGTACATATTCGATGGCTTTACTCATACATGCATGTTGTGCCTCTTTATTTACTATAAACACTTGTTCATAATTACTAGCAGTTTTATGCTTAAGCAATCCATGCAATTGCATGGGGCCCTGAGCCATTGAGAGGACCCTTGCTGTTATATGTTTTAATTATCCTGTCAACAAGTTCAAATTACCCCTCAGAACATACTAAGTGTCCAATTATCCAAGGAGTCAGTCTCATGTGTAAACAAAACACTTAAAGATTGTTTTAGAATTTTCTTGCCCATCTGAAATCATAGATTTATATTTTTTTAAATAATATCATCCCTTGATATTATAACTGTCCAAATGTTGTTTCTCACATGATTTTCCTTTTCTTTCACCAATTTTCATTACTACAATTAATTGTCAGTTATAACTTTCTAATTGTCCCTGTTAGTCTGTTTTTGCAATTACTGTTTTTAGTTAAATGCTGTACATTCAATTATCAATGAACAGAGTAGTTGTTGCCCTGTTTGAAAGTCATATTATTGTTACTCATAGTGGAGTATTACTGATAAGAATAGAGGATTGGGGCACCACTGCCAAGCTTTACATGGGCCACAGAGGAACAAACACTGCCACTGCTCATAGTGTGTTCATCAGCTTGTATTTAAGACTGTGTGTTAAAGAGACAAAATGTTAAAACCTGTCTTGATAAATGAGCAGTGTTAATTTCCACAAAATATACATATAATGGACCTGTTATTTAAAACCTTTTGTATACAAATTTAACGTACGTTACAGAACCTAAGAAAATTCTTGAGGTCTGACAAAATTTAAAAAATGTGACAAGGAAAATAAAGAAAAGTATATATATATTTTTTTTTCTTTTCACTACTAGAGAAAAACATTATACATCAAAATTAAAACTTTCCTTACAAAAAATAGCAAATAAAATAAATTTACTATTTTATTTGTCATACAACAAATGGCATAAATCAAATCTAAGCAAACTTCTGAATAATAATAAATTACATTTTACAAAAAGTTTTGATCAAATTTGAAAAAAGATGGTTCAATCATAATTAATCATACATCACATATCTTCCTACGTCATTTTTTAATGATGAAGGTACTGTATAAATCAATGTTAATGCAACTCAATCAGTTCAGTTTAATGTAATTAAAAAATCTTTCTACTTATTACTTAATTTTTGAATAACAAACTGGTTCTACTCTGTGTAACCAATACAAGTACATAATTATACTTGAAATTCATATAAAGTTATCAGCATAAACAGCAATCAAGTCAAAAACTCACATGCTATCCCACTCTGTGTTTTCAAAATTTAAACATAAAATTTGAAGATATTATACATAAAATTTTGCCAAACATATAAAATATTATGACAGTGCATCACTAGAAACAGATTGTGTCTCCTATTCACAGGTTGTATATACAAGTATATGTATTGCTTGTATGTGTATATACAAAAAAATTTTTTTCCTCACTTTTCTCTGTGGACTTGCACCAAATAACTGTATGTCATGACATATATAAATCTGCACTAAATTCATATAGAGCATGTATGTCTATAAGTATACACTGTGCAAAGAGGTCATATCATGATCAATTTGTATGTACAAAGGCAAGACATGCACATGTTAAAAAAGGTATATGATCTATAAATGTATTCCTATCACTGGAAAGAATTACATATAAATAAATGTAGGTGATTCAAACTATCAATATGGTTTTAGGGGAAAGGAGTTTGGGCAAGAAAACAGTAAGAAGTCTCTAGGCTGTTAGGTTTAAAATAACTTGAATATCATAAGTATTTAGAGCATAATGATATTTTGGAAAATCCACAAAAAGGTGTATACCGGTCCCTTAAAATCTTTCACACATTTTGATAATCATCCTTAAAGAAAAGAAGGGTTTTGCATATCTGTTCCACATAATTTTATTATACTTATTACTTTGTTGAATTAAATGGCTTTTTGAGCCTTATAGCTTTTGTACCATCTTCCATAAATTGTAAGTAAATCACCAATACTTTAAAAATCGGTATTTTTTTCCCATTTTTCTTTTTCTTATGTTTCCTTGTAGGTAAACGCAATAAGTTTTAAGAATAAAAAATAATAGAATAACCATGTTTTTTATTTTTAGACACTATATGGAAAAATGTAACAGAAAATATGTAAATATGCAATCATTAAAAGTTAACTGAAATATCTTCTATTTCAAGTATACGGATTTGTTTTGGCAATCATTTTAACAGTAAAGTCTTCAACTCATATTTACAAAAGGTAATTTTCCTTACCAAATCACTGAGCATACTTACACTATCTGAGTCAATTCATATCCCATGTTTGTTGATTATACTCTGAAAGGTCTGAATATTTTTAATAATTTTCAATTTTTCAAGTTAAATGAGTAAAAAAATAAATACAGACTATTGTGATTCACTGTGTATATGAATATGCATGAAGACACACATATAAATTCCCAAAATATAACATTGATAGTTCTTTATAACCTTGAATTTATATTTTATTTTTAATTAAAATATAATACTTTATGACTTACAAGGAATGTTAACAGAGCCAGGAATGGTTCCATATTCATTAATTTCCTGTGGCTCTCTAACATCAATGAGCTGAATATCTCCACCTTGGATCAAAGCTTCTAAGTCTTCAAATGAAATGTCACAATCTGCTACCTCTACACTGTAGCTTCTCTGGGAGATTTGACTAGTCCAGTTTCCATATAAAGCTAAAAAAGCACGGCTACTTAATCATTATGTTAATATAAAACTTCATTGCTTTGCTCTTTTACAACAACTGTTATATATCATTATAATAATTTATGCCTCAGTTATTTCAAAAATATAATTCTTAAACGGTATATGAAATTATGAATGGTAAACTACTTAACAAATCATATACGCTTAGCAGACTAAATGAGATTGGACTATAGTCTGTGGGTCTAACTGATTTAATGATAATTTAAATTTACTATCTGACCATCAATCTTTACTCCTCCAATTTCTAAAGTAACGTTTACTTCGAAGTTAAAAAGAAAAAAAGTTACAATGCCTATTGACAGAATTAAGTAGAAAGAGAAAATTAATATTACCTTAACACTATTGTTAATATGAATAAACATTAAATGCAAGACATAGATAAACGTCAACATATTTCAAACTTTTAAGTAGTATATGTGAATGAATGAATGAATCACTTACAGTGCACATGACTTTTGACGTTGTTGCAACAGCTTTTGCTTTTCAGCAAACGAACCAACGGGAATGCACACTCAGTTCTTTTCCATGAGTCAAAGTAATACGAAGAAGTTGATAAACTTGATATGCTGTAACAATTTTGGTAATTTTTCTGACAAGAAATGTATGAAAACAATGCGTGTTTCTTTGCTAACTTACATCGTCTTAGGAACAGTTTTGCAACATGTGTAGCCGCCATCATCAAGAAGAATGTGAGCTCCACTCCGAGTGAGCACTGAGTAACACTCTTAACAATGTAGGCTGAAAATAGTGCCGTAGTGCCGCCCGCTTCCTTGTTCGAGAATTTCTCATTACAGTAGCGTTTTACACAGTGGAAAGTAATTTGTTTTCTGTTGTTTTTCTGAGTAATATTGTGGTATTTTCAGGTCAAACTGCTTATTTCCTGACACTTATCAGATAAACAGATCCCAAATAATTAGAGTTTTGTTCAGGAAATAAGAAGAGTGATATTGATAAGATAACCTGAGGATTCCTGTTGTGTTTAATTATAGAGATTGGATGATCTTAAAAGATAACATTTATTATTTACAAAAAACGCAAGTAAGTTCTTCTTTACACGAAAAGACAATCACTTAGTCCCACAATTTTCTTTTTTTTCTCTCTCTCTGGATATTCTTTCGTCGAATTAAATATGATGATCTCAAAAATAAGTCTTTATATCTTTCTAGTAAAATTGGCTAAAAAAAACGTTGCTGAATTCAACAGAGGAAATCGTTTTCTCTGTCCAGTAGGCAGCGTCACCTCATGACCTTTGTTCTTTCACAAAATTGTTCGACTATGACATGTTGTCAACTTTATAATCGGCTAGCAAAGGATAATAAAGTATAAATCCTTTAAACTCCGATGCTATATATTACTGCAATATCCTACTGTAGAGAACAGAGATAAAACAACTGTAGTTAACTACCAATTTGTTACGTCTCTGGTCGTTAGTTTGTTTCCCGAAGCTGACTTATTGGTGGTATTCTTCTTACACTGGCTCCTCATATGTCCTTGCTCTCCACAGTTCCAACAACCTTTCTGGGTAGCAGCCTTTCCTGTCATGGCATCTTCCCTGTGTCGAAGTTTCCAGCACTGAGCTTCTCTTGTGCCCAGGTTTATTACAGTGCCAGCAAAGTCCCTCAAACCTCTCTGAAAGCTGACCTTTTCTGGCCTTGAATCCTGATGACTGTACCAACCTTGGTACCTCTGTGCTGGACTTAATGTAGGATTCGAATTCAAGAGCCCTGGCCATTGCATCCTGCATAGTAGAGGGGGGTGCTTGCTTCACTTGTATTTTCAGTTGAGGACAGTCCAAGGCAACTACAAACTGATCCCTCAGCAACAACTTGAGGAGATCGGGTGGTGCAGTTGGGTA